TATTTAAACCCTCTGCGCCATATGTGGGTCGACTATTATTATAACTGAATTGGGTTATATCCCTTAAGAATATCGATTTAGGACTTTAAAGCAAGCTCAACCAGTAAGCTCTTTGTTCTCGAGGTAAACCTGCTAGAGCCTTCTATACCTACAATCCAGCTGACCTAGTCTTCGATTGATATGCACAGGCCAAGGCCCACTACTTGCGGCCCAGTTTCCATATTTGGCCTGGTCGCCGCTACACAACCTACTTCTGCCCTTATAGAATTCACCCAAACCCCGGTCCACACATTACAGACTTTCTCGGTGTCCCTAGCTCCCCAAACTACCAATCCAGATAGCCTGGAAAGGCTATGACCTGCTCTGGTCCCCACGGTTGGGTCCTTTTCCTCCGGTTCTTCCGGCGGCCTGGTTGGTAGAGTGCTGCCAAACACTTCGGTCCTATTTAGTTTTGCTAGTTCTTCCGGTAATAATCCTTTACGTAGTATCGTCAAAGATCTGTGCTACCTATCTACTCGGGACTTGCCAAGCGAGTACCCCACCGCCGTATCGGCCCTGTAGCTTTCTACGATTTGGTGCATATTTGTGTAACCTCTCTATTACACAAAGGCCCCAGAATCTTCCAGTTCCGACGAATTGGTACGACCACAGTTACAGGGTCTCGAGTTTTCTCGGCCACGGCGTTAGTTACTGAATCCGTTTTTCGAAATTCAATTTTCGTCTCCAGTGGGAATTGAACTTGTACTCAACCGCTTGGGGTGCGACAACTTCACCACTTCACTAAATTGCCACACCCTATATATACAGTATTTAGTATACTGTACATATTATATATTATGTATATAAAAAATCTTATATTTCTGTATTAAGATTTTTATTATATAATTTGTGTCATTTTTATTTAATACATATCGATCATTTTCTTCAGGTGACTCACAGATCATTAATTAAAAGACCAAGTATTTTATAAAATCTTTTTTCTTTTTATTTAGAACTCTAAATTTGATTTTTTAGTGATCTTTGTATATTTTTTAATAATTTTTATTTTTATAAATTTGTATTTGGAGAATTAGTGAAAAGAGTTGTATTTTATGATTTTTTTAATAAAAATACAGTTTATTTAAAAATTTAATAATTTGTTAATATTGTATTTTTTTCAAAATAAGCTAACTTATTTTTAACAATTTTGAGTTTAAAAAATCAAAGATAGCTTATTTTTGAGTATAATAGGTTTTTAAGAATTTTAATTAATTACTATTAATTATTATATATATATACTTTTATATATAGTAATTATATTTAGATAACTTATTTTAGAGTAAAAGATATTTTTAAATTTTTTAAGCAAAAGAGAGAAGTAGCTTATTTTTGAAGATAGTTTATTATAGAGAAAATATGATATTTTTTGATTTAGCTTGGTTTAAAAAATTATAATACTTTAAAGTTTTTATTAAACTATACAAAATTAATTTTTTGTTTTTCATAATATTAAATTTTAAAAATAACTAGCTAGCCAGCTTTTTTTTTAAATTTTATATATAAAATTTTATAAAATTTTTTTTTTTTTTAATATTAAGGTAAATTCATGTCTTTGGTTTTTATTAATATATAGCTTTAGCAATTACAATTATATATACATATATATTAACTTTATAAACTACAGAGACTTAGACTAATTTATCTATGACCTAAACCTACTAGAGTAGTCCATGCTCTACATATGTATCACCTAGCTTTGTGCTTCTTAACTAACTATTTCTAGTAACTACATATTCCCCTCATATCTCACATAACTAATTAGTAAAAAAAAAAAAATAATAATAATTTTTTATTTTTTTTAACAATAAGCACCTTTTGCCTTCATTTTCTAATATTTCACAAAATATTAAAACGCACCCAACCAATTTATCCCACTTCTACCTCATCTAGTTTCACTATATTTGATGTTTTTCTGAAACTTTTACATTACAAGCAAATGCATCATCAAATAATCTATAAAATAAATATGAAAGTATTTACTATTGCCATTGGAAGATGTTTCTAATCCGTAGCATGGTGGCGAGTGCAGAAAGATTACCCTACTTTAAGTTTAATTGCAAGGGGCTTATTTCCTATACCAGCCACCCAGCGTTGCTTCAGAGCAAGCATCCTCCGTAGCCGGTCTTACTATTTCAAACAAAAGAAATAGATTAGACGATGAGCCTGCAAGGGCAATTCTGTGTCAAAAAAATTGGCTTCAAAAAGAAACTAGCATTTTCGATAATTAGAAAACAATCGTAATTTTTTTATTGCATTAAATTAGCGCACTTGTGAAAATAGAAAACTATTGTAATTGTTTTATTCATTAAATTAGCTTTATTAAATTTGCTTCGCACAAAAAAAAGTACATTTTACTTAACATATTTACATGTATATATCGCATATTAATAAAATTTTGTTTTGTAGCTTAACGTTAAATTGATAAAAATTCGTTTTTAGAACCACAGACCAGACCGATAAGCACTATTAAATCGGTTCTACAGGGACCGGGACCGACCAGGACGGACCGATCCATCACTACTGGGTACTAAATGCAATGCTATCGCTAACTAGTCTATTTTGTCTTTATTGAAATTATATATTATATATATAGTCTATTTAAAAGTCTCAAATTTGTATGGCCTAATAAAAACCAATTTTATTTGTTTGTATAATGTGTAAAAAAAAAAAAATATATACCGGGTGTTTGATAAGTTCCTATACATGACCTTTTTTATGTCTCCGCTAGTATTAGTTTTTATTATATAAAAATTTATAACGATTACTAATGATGTATTACGTATTTTATAATATTTAATGATTAAAAAAAAGGGGACCTGTTTTGGGACTTATCAAACACCCGGTATAGTACAGCGATCGCAAGAAGCAAATTTATTAATACGTGTATATATGTTGTAAGCGGGAACGGGATTTTTCTTAGAATTTTAGGGTTAGGGTATAGGGTTTATGTAAAATAAACACCCTGAAATGCTAATTTAACTAAGAAATTCCAAATCTACGCTCCCATTTACAACATATATAAAATTTTTTAGGCTGGTAATGCCAGGATTCTACGTACGTACGTACCCTTAAAAGGCAATGTGACTACATCAAGATTCTAAGTACCGAATACGTACGTACGTACGTACAATCTTTATGCTTTAATAGTACCATACCTCGTCGAAATGGAAGTCTAAGGGATTGTACAATATGTACGGACGTAATTCTTCTAGAAGGTTTGGTGATAAAATCGCAGTGTTATAATCGGGATAGAACCGCTAAGTTTTTTTAATTTGGTAAATTTAAATATAGATTCTATAACGGTACGTAAGCGCATCAGTCTTAATAATATCCTGTGCAACACTAACAAGTTTATAATTTAGCCAAATCACAATTAATGCGGAAATCTCTTATAGTCGGGCTATTTAAGCGCAATTCCTACGTTCACAAAGATTCTTCCAAGTTTTTTAATCAAAAAAATTATTAACATGGTTACGAGAATTTTTGGTGTTAATCCTTTTGAAGAATCAGTGGGTGAGTACATTTAATGTAACCACTATTTTTCTTGAAATTTTGCAAGTTAAACTTCATTATTAAATTGATTAAATTGTGTATGCCTCTAGAAAAAGCCACCTCTGAATTGATTCCTAAAGGTCAAGATAGCTTGCCTCTGTATCTCGATATAAGTGATCAAATCCGTAGTAAGTCGGTCCAGCCTAAAGAGGCGTTGAGAGTTCTAAAAAAAAGAATCACTCATAACAATCCGAATGTTCAACTTTTGGCACTTAGTGTAAGCTTGCGGGCATGAATTTTCAAATAAAATTTGATAAAATAATTAATGAATTTGTTGAATAAATTTTTATGTAGTTGACTGATACTTGTGTCAAAAATGGCGGGCATCATTTTCTAATTGAAGTCGCGTCGAGGGACTTTGTCGACACTTTAGTGTCTATTATAAAATCGGTAATCATTGTT